CTACATATTAATTAGAAAATTATGGCCAACATTGCTTCTACGGGGAAAAAAAAGAGAGGTGAAAATCATACAATTGTACTTGAATCTCAACTTAGACAGTTGCAAAATAGTCAACTACAAACTAATTAGAAAATTATGGCCAACATTGCCTCTATGGAGGGGGGAAAAAAAGAGAGGTGAAAATCATACTTTTGTACTTGATTCTCACATTAGACTGTTGCTGCAAAAAATGTCCACTATATATTAAAGTAAAAGTATTTTTTCATTCAACTTTGGACTTGAGATTTCTGATAAGAACATGACCTAAAGTTCTTGGAAAACATTTACAGTCTCCGTGGTTTTATGCACCCCGCATAATTTAGCAAAATGTGATAATTTTTGTGTGCATAATTTCAGATTATTTTCCATTATCATTCTTTGTTACAATTTGGGCTCAGTTTGCACAATTTCAGAATTTTTCTCGCATAAAACGACGGGGACAGTTTACAGCATCCACGAATCTCCACGTCATGTGTTCCAAACGGCCGTCCTAACCACTAGAAATGTCACAAAGTACACAAGGCAGGGTACTCAGTTACTGGTCTCACAGACAAAAATTTGTTTTAGATTTTAGATTCAGAAAGAGTTTTACGGCACTTGCAACACAATAAGGTCATATAAGTGCCGAAGAATAGATGTGTTACAAGAGAGTAACAAACACAAAAAAGGAGGAGAGACAAGGACGATAGATGTTTGATAGGAAAGAAGGAGCAAACCACACCAGAGCACCCACCCAAAAATTTGTGATAAGAAAAGCTTCATCGGACTCTAGTAAATATCTACTTCAAAACGATGCATGGGGAATAAAAACTAATCAGATGCCACTGACAATATAAAAAAAAAAAAAAAAAAAATAAACCCCCTTGCTATGGGATATGATAGGTACAAGATTCAGAACCAATAGAAATCAACACATATGCCACAGCTTAAGTATACAAACTTAACTAATATAATTTTTGTTTTCAATGGAAACCCCTCACCCTCTCCCAAACAGAACAGACAGTAAATTATTTTTCTACCAACAAACATCTCCTAGTACAAAACGCTAGTCCGTAAATTACAATGATGGTGAAACAGAAGCTACTCTTGGTGGGGAACAAGTTCCAAGTTTAATGCAAAACACATCTATACATATATAAAGTCAAATTCAATACAAACAATTTTCAACAATGCCTTTCCATTTCATCTTTTACGAATGAATCATTGAATGCTATGTGCATTGTGTTGACTGAAAAAAAAAGTTAACATAGCACTAGCAGACATCTCGAAACACAAATTTGGCCAGCAAGAACCCTTTGTAAGGACACGCTAAAAAAATATCCTGAACTAAAATCCAACACTTCGACTGGGACCATGATACAAACTGCCCAATCCGTGTCCAATTCATTCATCGCCCTAGGCAGACAGCAATGAGCACCCTACTAAAGAGCCTTCAGTGCCTCTTTCTTCATATCTTTTCTTCTTTCTCACACAGCGACCAAGGACCAGATTCCGCTGTATATCCTGTTTTCAAACACGCTGAGGGAGAAACGGGACAATGCGATGTCCGACACATCACCCCCCCCCCCTCGATTGCGCCATATTACAAACTACAGTAGTCTAACAGGCCAACAGAAGTTTGCTGTTAGTTTTTCTCAAGTTTCATATATATATATATATGTATATACATAAATTGCGAGTGAAGGAGATGGAGGTCGTTTGGTGTCAGGGTTAAAAATAACAAGATTAAGGCAGCCAATTTTTGTGACTTCCAAAGCTTGAGTGCCCTTGGAAACTGCAAATTTACAAATTTATTTTGTGTACCTTTGATCAACATTTTTTCCCAGTAACATCCATCCAGATTTGTTTTTTTTCAGTGGACATAAAAAACGTTGAGATGAAAAATAAGATTGATAAAAATTGCCCAACAGGATAAGAATAAATGACGGTTTCTTCAATTTCAGTTTGTTTGACGAGTGCCTGATTTCGCTACGACTAAGATGCGCGGGTCTGATTTGAAAAAAAAAGTCTCGTCAAATCATCATATGGTAGAGTTTCATACACTGTCCCCGCGGTTTTACGCAAAAAAAATTATGAAAATATGCAAACTGAGCCCAAAAATGCGAAATTATGCGATTCTGTCCATTTTAACTAAGAATGATAAAAGGCAAATAATCAGAAATTGTGCAAAAAATTATCAAATTTTGATAAATTATGCGGGGTGCATAAAACCCCGGGGACAGGATACAGTTGAGGGTGGCCAGAGTTTCCTCCAGGAGAGGACGTAAAGCTATTGCTGTGGCACCATCATTTGATCAAATCTTCCCTTAGTACACAGACATGGCAGAATGCGACCCCCCTTGAGCGAAAGCTCTATGGCAGTCTCTTAGATTTGAAGCTGACTGCACAGTTTGTGCGCGACATCGGACTGACTGTCTAGCTGCTGTCATCGAGAACGAGGAAGATCAAACCTTCCACTTTTTATTGAAGGGGGGGGGGGGGGTTGTAAGTCACGATTGGGTTCAGTTTGATGTCATCGTGGCCAACAGTCAACCAGAAAGTTATTTCGCAGTTGTGTTTGCATTTGGAATGTACAGTACCTCCCATGTCAAATTTTGATGAAAGAAAGCAGATTAATTTGATAAAGAATGCAATTGACAGCAAGCAGGAGTTTTTGTCAGATAATGAGCGAGCGATGAAATGGCAGCTACACCAAGGGTTAGAACACTTTGTTTTGACACTCAAACTTTCCGTGCTCTTCATAGTTGGTCGCTTCTAAGGACAAGCGGGCAAACCCAGGTTAAGGGGATTTCCAGAAATCTTGACCAGCACCAAAAGTGGGCGTTGCTCTACCAATAGGAGAAGTTTGGTTCCAGTGGGGTGTATACTTGTTTGGTTATGGAGAAAACTTTTCTTGTTTTTTAGAGAAACTGAACAAGTGGCAAAAACTTTATATTCGATTTTCTCTAAACAGCAGTTTTCGGGATAGCCCCCTTGTACTTAAAAGCGACCAGTTGATCTTGATATTACTAATATGATATGTAAACAACAAAACAAGATTACAAATTATGATTATATAATACAACAATGGTTTTTTTTTTGTGCCTCATGTATCGGCAACAACTCGTACTGAGCAATTTTATTTTTGTCTCCCGGTCATCATCTGACCGCCAGGAATTAACCCCCCCCCCCTCCCCTAAGCCTTCTTTCCCTTGGGGTTTCCCCTTGCTTAATTAACCCTTTCCAAAATGGCATAGCTCATGTCTTATCCCAAGTGGCCGTCTTACACCTGTACCTTCACTCTGATCGAGAGAAAATAATTAAATATCAACGCACTATTTTCAAACCTAGTGGCTGGATGGACTTCTCATGACTGAGCGGTGAATTCTGAACTGGTTAAAAGCTACTAGTCACAGAGGCAAGGACATGGCTATAATTACAATGATAGTTGGTCTTTTAATTGAATTCACAACTTTGTGAAGCAGTTTCAACGTGGGGTTGAAAGAACTATTATATCATTCGTGTGGATGCAAAATGTAATGGAAACTTTCCGGTCCCGTCTTTGTATCGGACCCTCTACTGTTTTCTGCCTAGTAGATCCATCAGGTTTCTAACGTGTATCTTCAATCGCGTTGTTTCATGCAGGGAGCAGCAGGGAGGCATTGGACTGGAGAGGACCAAAGGGAAGCAGTTGTAACAGTAATATAGACTGTCTCTTGTTGGAGGTACTACAAGCATACGAGAGAGAGAGAGAGAGAGAGAGAGAGAGAGAGAGAGAGAGAGAGAGAGAGAGAGAGAGAGAGAGAGAGAGAGAGAGAGAGAGAGAGAGAGAGAGAGAGAGAGAGAGAGAGAGAGAGAGAGAGAGAGGGGGGGGGGGGGGGGGGGGGGGGGGGGGGGGAGGGGGTAAGAATGATAATGCAAGGTGATGAAAAAAAAACTGTACAACTTTTTGTTAATATTTTCCTCCACACTGATGTTTTGCGTTTGAAATCTATACACAACATTTGGAAGTCAAAAGGAATTTGTTTGATATTCATTTTAGATCCATCCACAGAATAGTTTTGCTCTACATAGGGCGTAAAAAACATTTTTAGCTATGTCCCCATTTTTGTAACATGACGCACTATTTCGCATTAGGCCTACCACTAAAAATCCCCTCGATTGCGCCATATTACAAACTACAGTAGTCTAACAGGCCAACAGAAGTTTGCTGTTAGTTTTTCTCAAGTTTCCTTTGCCTACTGAGATCATGAATAATATTTGTAAAGAGCAGAGAGCTTTTTGTATTGAACATTTCCTCACCACCAACTCATTTCGCAAGTGTGGCTCAAGGTACAGATATAATGTTAAAGTGCCCTTAAGGCCTTGTTTGAAGTAAAGGGTGAACACGATCCGTCAGTTAGGATCTGTAGAGAGAGAATCAGAGCTAAAACTTCCCAGACAAAACGACCACTTCAGGTCAAACACACGCGTCACCAGAGGGTGCAGTATTCAGTAGATGAGCCCCGTGAGACGTCTTTCCGTAGACGATGTCTTCAGAACCGACTTTCCTACATCTCAACGGTCCGTATTCTGGAGGCAGATTTTCCCATTCACGAAGCTACCAGGGAATAGATCTAGAACGTGTTCGTGATTCCTCGATCGTCTCGAAGTGCATGAACATTTCCTCTCTGACATTTGAAGACTACAGGGGAAAAACGATTTTTAGTCGCAAACTGAAAATCGTGAGGGTATCAATTTTGAACGCTTGTTGACTCATAACTGTATTTTTGTTCAACTGTTAGTTGATTATTGTTGTTTGATTTCCCATTCAACTACACTTAAAAAAAAAAAAAACCGCCAGTCAAACAAATAATGAAATATTAAGTTATGAGTCCACAACCTTTTAAAATTGGCACCCTCACAATTTCCAGTTTGTAATTACAGTCGTTTTTCCCCTGTGCTCTTAATTTGGTTCTTTGGCAAAACCCATATTCACCTTTCAGGGTATATCAACTCCACAAATGTTGTCTATTTGGGCAACCTCCCCCCCCCTCCCCCCCCCCTTTCCAAATTGTCTCTAGAAAGAGCTCCATACCGTAAAGTGCACAGTGTGTGTGGTTTTGTATACTCACGGTCGAGTGGATCCTTGTGTTTGGCCACCACTGAACATTACGAACGACGCGTTAAAATGTGTCGAGTTAAAAGGAGGACATATATATAGACCAGTGGTTCTCGGAATTCCGGAATTTAAAAACTTATTTTTAAACTCTGTAGGAGAAAAGACACACTGTTTAAAGGTTACGGAGATGGAAAGATTATATTTTTTTAATAAAAGGAAAGGAAAACCCCCCAAAACGAATCACTTCATGACTTTCCTTACAAGATCTTTTAAATTGGTGCATTTTGCATTATATGGGGTTTTAGTAAAAGCCATTTCCATTTTCGAAAATTAATTTCTTCTTTGTAAATTTTATATCAAACAAATTCCTTTTGAATGAATTATATTTGTCCAAAATTACAACGTCTAGTACACATTTAGTGCGAGATATTAATTACAAAAAAAGTTGTACAGTTGTTTTTTTTATCACCCAGTAATTGAGTTGTTCTTGTGGTACAAATTCTTTGCGTCAATACCTTGTATTTTCCATACACCTGGAATGTCTTTTATATACATATTTCTGACGATGCATTCAAGAAGAGAATATAACGATTACTACTACAAACTACCCAAGTAGGGTGACTTTTACTTTCATTTTTAAAAAAGGACTGTTTGTAAACCCCATTCGCACGATCTTTGAGTGATTGAATAATTAAGAAAATCAGAATCAGATTAAGGGAAACATTGTGACTTGCCATTACTTCTGGGTGAGGTTTTTTTCTTCTTTTGGTTTTAGAGGAATTTCTTTATTGCCCCATTTTTGTCGAGGTCTTTAACCAATGGCTCAGAGAAACGACAAAGTATACCAAGTCCATAAGGAACCTGTCCCCGGGGTTTTATGCACCTTGCATAATTTAGCAAAATTTGATCACTTTTTGCATAATTTCTGATTATTTTCCTTAATAATTCTTCGTTAAAATTATCAGACTTGCATAATTTCACATTTTTGGGGTTCAGTTTGGGTAATTCAGAATTTTTCTTGCATAAAACGACGGGGATAGAAGTATACCAAGTCCATAAGGAACAGATGACGTCATCAAGGACTCCCCTCAAGACGACCATGCGTCTGTCTACCCCTGACGCCGTTGTTTTAGTAGAGGTTCTACGGCGCTCGCAACTGCATAAGGTCATATGAACGCCAGAAGATTTGAGGTGTTACAAGGGAGTAACAAACATAAAGGAGAAGGAGGGGAGAAAAAGACGATAGAGGAGATGTTTGTTGATAGGAAAGAAGGAACAAACCACACCAGAGCACCCAGCAAGGCCCTGGTACACATTAAATCGCCTGCGATAGACACGTCACCAGTGGTCAGATGTACAGTTCACAGAGGGCCCATACTCCTGTCCCCGTCGTTTTATTGCAAGAAAAATTCTGAAATTATGTAAACTGAGCCCAAAAATGTGACATTATGCAATTCTGTTAATATTTAACAAAGAATGATAAAGGAACATAATCAGAAATTATGCAAAAAAATGATCAAGTTTTGCTAAATTATGCGGGGTGCATAAAACAGATATTCATAATGTTCTTCAACGACGGAAAGTTGGTGTCTGGAGACGCTCAAGCGAACGTTTTCAGGACATCTGTGGGCATAAGCATAAGCTCAGTGGTGGGTGGGGATTGGGGGGGTGGGGGTGGAGGGAAGGGGGCTGTCAAGGAAAGGGGGGGGGTGCAATTAGTCTGAACCATAGAAGACCCCTCCATAGTATTCAAGGCAATTAAATCAACTTGAATTCGCCCTAGGTGTGAGGTTTTTCAACCCATTGCCTTGTAATGGGTAGCTGAAGGGAATATTATATTGATTTTCACACCATCGATCTTCCAACGAGAGTAGTAAGTAGTAAGGTGGTTTCTTCCCTCTGTTAGCCTGTGGGAGACCCTTGGGCAAAGTCAAGTACTTTACTTTACTTTTATCCGCCGCTTATACCCTTTTGGGTGTCGCGGGAAGAAAGAGACGTCTCTCTGTCGCCAGCCGGAGAGCTTGGGTCAGGGGGATGCCGCGGGTGGTTAATGTTTCCCTGACTCCATGTATCCAGGTCTTTCTCGGTCGCCCTCTAGACTTGTTGCCATTGATTTTTTTAATGTAGGTACATTAGGCTGGATGATGTGTTGGTAATCGTAGGAGATGTCGGAACCATTTGTGAGGTGTGCTGACAAAATGAGTCACTTCTCGCGATCCAAGAATGGAGATAACGGCCGAAAATCAACACTGGGGTCAGATTTAAAGATTATTAGCTGATGCCATTTTGTTCAAGTCTACCGTGTCTTTTATTATTCTATACTTACAAATTGTACAAACTCCACCAACTAAATAGTTAATGTATCAATTTTCAAATGGCAAAAACTGGAAAGAACACTAATTTTGTCAGCACACCTCTCATTTGATTCTTTGATGTTGAATGTGATTCATGACATCATTTGAGCCCACCATTTCTCGGATTACTGAGTTTCTAATTTGGTCTCGCCTGGTCTTGTTTACAGCTTTTCTAAGGCATCGCATTTCAGTCACAAAGTCAAGTAGGCCTACCTATTATAATAGTGTTATGTGACGTCATGGCAGGCAGGTGATGGGGGAATTTTTGGGCAGCAAAAGATAGTTTTGGAATTGGTGAGCTTCAACTTTTTATATTTATTTTATTTATTTATTTATAAATTTTTAACT